AAACCATAAAAAACCATAGTTTTTTACCAGGCTGCAGCCTTTCCCCTGCTCACACACACACACAACACACTACACACACACACACGCCACAGAGCAGAGCAATGAGGCTGTGGTGGAAAGCAGCAAATGACAGGTGAAATGAAGAGAACTCCAAAATTTTTCGAGTTGACAACAGCTGTGCTCATTTCTTTTGGTACGTGCAATAAAACCTTAGTGAGTAAAAAGCCCATACTTTATCGATACACCTGTTCAACACGCATAAATATATAAAGCGATATTTTAATTTGAATCATTTTCTGGTAATTATACACATTAGCAGTGTTACACTTGCTTGCCAAGTTACGTATGTGCTTTTGCCTGTTATCTTCATCTTTGAATCTGATCTAAGAAGAAACTAGTGGTCATGCAGCACTATATTCATAGTTTTCATTCATGTGACATGCGCAGTGACCTGGAGGGCAAAACAACAGACTAGCATAGCGGCTCATACCACGACTCCCCCGTAGAGACGCCGCAAAAGCAGTAAAATTTTATTTTGATCACCTTTCAACTTAAGAAAAAGAAGATATGAACACAAACTGCAAGTGTTGGGCATATCCAATCCATATAAAGTTACAGCATCCGCTGCCGCATTTCTACCGTTAAAAACCGCCAGGTCCCTACTGCCGCTCAACTGCGGTATGTTTACGTTTACCTTGTGGGGAATCCCCCATTTCCATCTTCCCTCTCTATTTCATCCCTTGACGGGCTTGGAATGCAAAGAGACTTACATAGGCTAATGTCTTTATTTACCATAAATCTCAATTAATAGCCCAGGCTTGTATTGGCTTCAGTCACTGAACTTAACCTGACAATAGATGGGACCTTTGCCTCTATGGGACAGGCCTTGAATTCTTTTCACACAAAAATATTGCTCAGTAAAAATGGGAATTACTGCAGGGAGAAGAGAAATTTTGTGTGGTCTTTGATAAACGAAGTAAGCAGACAGTGAGCAATCGACTTCACATGAAAATGTTCACAACGTTTTGATTATTTTGATGTGTGGGACCCTTAAAGACTAAAGGAATATTAAAAAAAATGGATAGACAAACATTCAAACTTTATGACCACTACAAAGGTTGGCAGTCGCCACTTTTCCCTCTCTTTTGTTTACCGTGGCAGTAAAATCTGAATGAATTATACTTTTGTGCTCATAGCTTCCATAAAATGAACTGAACGAGGTAATTGGGATTAATCTAACCGATCTAATGATGTGTAGCATGTGCATAATGACAAAAGTTTTAACATTTATATTTGTATGCGCACTCTAAGCAGCTTCGAACTAGCAAGTGACTCGTGGGCTTTAAGAGGTTTTCAAACAAATGTCTGGTAGTTGTTCAATATAGCTGGAATTCCGGAATATATTAGTGTAAACTCTGCTTGGTGTTCTAGGGGAGCAAGGTCAATACTGAATTTATAGAAGTGTCATACCTTTTCTGAGAGACTGTTTATCATAATAGGACGCTCCAGGATCTCACTGGCAGTTGGTCTTGATTGAGGATCTTTATTTATTATATCATTCAACAGATCACGAAGCTCTGGTGAGAACTTGTCTGGGAGAGATGGGTAGCCACCAAGTATCTTTGGTATGAGCTTGATCGGATTCTCGGGTGAGAACTGAAAGAGAATTATAGTTAGAAAACACTTACTACTATCTATATCTATATCTATATATCTATATCTATATCTATATATATATACGCACACACACACACACACACACACACACACACACACACACACACAGTGAATTCGAGCTGATAAAAAAAGGCAACACTAACTCGAACAACCACTTGTTACAACCAAGGTATGCAAAAGAACATTTGTGAACACACAACACAACTTTGTAAACTTTGTAGTAGGGCTGAACGATTAATCTTTTTCAAATCAAAATTGCGATTTGAAAGAACGCGATTAGCTCAAGCGGGAAGCTTCCGGTCAGCGATCTGATGGGAACGCGGAAGACCCTTAAACCTGCATTCTATTGAACAGCAAGCAAGGGGCAACTCTTGCAATTGAAGGCCAGCTCCATTAGAAATAATGGTAAAATGACCCTACTTCTCACCTGAATAATTACCTCAGTAAACACTTTCCTGATGACTTTATGGTCTCAGTCCCTAGTTTCATGTCTTCAATACAAAATGATGTTCATTTAGTACATTATGGTCCCATTTATTTTAAAATAGACCATAAAGCAGAGTATGCTTCAGGGCACGATTATCTATGATTGACAAGTCATTACCATGGTGGCCTGTCAATCAGGCCAGAGGCAACTCGTACGTACTGCACTGTGTAAATTTAACCAGCGCCACTGAAAAAGCTTATTAGAAGATGGCTGTTCACTTTCTCTTAGGAGTACATTTAGTTTTAAGACTGTTGTTTGCTGGACAAAGTTATCAGCCCTGTTATAATGACAGTTACTGTGAATTACAGATGCACCTAGCTAAGCAAGCTAGCTAGCTCGGCACACGGCCGTTAACTCAACCATCTCGTCCAAATATGGTCACATCCGGTGCCACAGGTTGCAAAAACTCAACATGGCGGTGCCCTATCGGCCAGACTCGAGGCTTCAAAACGTCAGTCCACAGACTAACGGGTGACATCACAGTGACTACGTCCACTTCTTATTAGCTAATTGTGAAGACACGATTAAAATGTAGGTTAATTATAAACAGTCATGTAGTTACAAATTCATTCTGTTGTCATCCTTGTGTGACAGATCTGCTCGCCAATCACAAACGCTATACGCCTCCTGTTACGGTCCTACTCACCAATCAGAGTGGGCACAGGGCGTGTACATTTTTTCAACAACAAATGAAAGTAGAGGATAAGGTGGGATAATGGCGTCAGGCAAACAGACACAGGCAGCGACTGTCCCACGGTTTTGTCTGGCGTCAACTCACACTGATGTTTTTCAGCTGCCCTACGTTTTTAACGTGTTGTTAATTTGTCATTTTGTGTGCTTCAACTATGGATAAGAGCTCTCTGTGAGCCTGTTCTGCTCTCTGCAGGCTAACTTTACATATCCACATGGAGCATTTCAGAATAAGAGTGTTTTGCCTGTCTGATTTTGCTGACTTGTTCAGATTTTGCTTATTTGTTCAGTTGTCATTGATTTTTGTGCTTCTACTATGGTTAAGTAGGCTACGTAGTTAAATTGTTTCTTTTTTTGTCTGTTTTAACTGTGTTTATTGTTGATATACGAACGTGAGTCTCCAAAGGGTATTTTACTTTTAAAATCCAGATTCTATATGCCGTTCAGTGTCTGTCTTCCTGTGTGGTACATCTACTCTGTGCTGCTTGACGCGGCTTCCATCAGAAATAGACTGGCAGTGAATATTGAAGTCCAGCAAAGCTTCAATTAAAAAAGAAAATCGCAAATTGAATCGCAATATCTGCATTCACAATTAGATTTTTTCCCCAAATCATTCAGCCCTACTTTGTAGTAGATGGACTACAACAGCAGAAGACCACACTCCTGTCTGGTAAGAACAGGACATTTTCGCCCTGGAGAACTGGATATTTTGTCTTATTCGGACCATTCACTGTAAACATATGTCTATGAGTGAAAATCTCAGTAGATCAGAGGTTTCTGAAACCAGCCATCTTCAAAACCTTGCCACACCTTTCTTCCCCATTCTGATGCTTGGTTTGAACTTCAACAGATTGTTTTAAACAACATGCCTATGTCTACATGCCCACATGTATTGAGATGCTGCCATGTGATTGGCTGAATAGATATGTATCCTTTTTACAAGAGAATACATAGCACAGTCTTTTTAATTTCATTCATGTTTTGATTACGTAAATCTTGACATGTAAACCTTTGGGGAACTTACCGCTGGTTGTAGAGTACAGAGCTCATAGAGTATGCATCCCACTGACCAAATGTCACTATGAATAAAACATATAAAATTTTGTTAGTAGTAGTAGAAGTGATAGAAAATAGATTACATAAATGTGGTAAATTTGAAATTATACTTTAAATCATGAACAAAAATTATATTTGTATAAAGTGGGAATTTCAGCCAGAACAGAGCAAAGCAAATTGGCTGGTGAACAAGATGTGATTCTGTACTCACATTTCAACATGTTTGACAAGTTTCACTAATAGCCATTTCACTCGGGTTGTGATGGTCAAATATAATGATCCACCGTGTTACAGCCGCTGTTTTGGCCGCTAGTAAAAGTTACTTCAAAGCACGGGGCACTTCCTGACGGCTCGGAGGCATTGCGAGGCTACCCAGACGACCAGTCACAGTGCTTATGGTCCGTGGCGCCTCGATGCTTAGTTACATTTTTGAGGAGGTGCACATCAGGCTACGCCGTAGGTGACACCGTAGGGTAGGGGGCTAAGTATAAATTACAGTTAAGGATTAAAGGTACTGTTGGTGCCCTTCTAACATGTTGCTTTCGCTACACAGTTGTTGGATAGTGTGTAATCACAAATCACTTTTGTGAAACCGGCCCGTTTAGCATCACTAAATGAATGCTGAATGCATCCCTCTCCTCTCTGCCTGCCTTTGTCAGCCTTTACTACTTATGGGATTGTTGAATTTATTTGGTTTATGTAACGTACAAGCTGGTGTATTGAGACACCGTCAGTGTTTGGACCAAACAAACTTCCCATTTGGTTTCTTGCTTAGTTGAAATGTGACAAGGAAGTTGTTAAAAGCTCATCTGGCTTAAACATTCACTTTATCGCTGCTTCTCTGGTTTCTTTACACTGTGTGACTATTGTACATCTTTTTTAATAACGAGTGTTTGTTGTTGTGTACGGCCTCAAGGCTGTTACTATGTCAGTTTTACCTTTTAGCATCATATTTCCCCACTGCGAAGACTTCCGGTGCCAGATAATTTATTGTTTCTGACATATTTGAATTAGTGATTGAACTGTAAAGAAAAATACATTATTACAGTACAACAGTACAACATTTAATGTGTATAGTATAGTATATGACATTGTATAGTACTTTTCATCGATTTTTCCAAATCCGCCCAGGCACACTATTCCAAATTCGGTGATTAATATGTGCTGTCAAAAAAGAGGTTAAAAAAAGGTTCATTTGAATGGTTAACTATGGCATCATTAATACATTTGTTTTATCTTCTGATGATTTAAAATATCTAATAGATAATTTCTGTATTACCTCTGGTGTCAGATGCTTGTGAAGCAATTTTTTTTCATGGATGGTTCTCAAAGCCATACAGATCTCAACAATCCAACTCAGTACCTAGAAATAGCAGAAATCTCGATGAATTGCAAAATATGTATACTAATATATCACTGATGTAAATTTAAAAAGTCTTTAAAAGCTTTAGACTACTGTACCTCACACTCTTGTGGAGGCTCACTCATCTCTTTGATCTTTGCAGCAAGGCTGCCTCCATAACAGTAGTCCATCACTACATAGTAAGTGTTCTGATCTTGAGGACAAAAGCAGAAACGAGAATCTGTTAGAATTTTGTAACGAATCATCTTGAGTATGATAATTGCGTGAGATACTTCTCCTAAATGAATATAAATAAATATTAAAGGTTTGTCTCTAAGTTCACTGTTCAGTTGGGGTTTCTGATTTTTTTTTAAAATGCATCTATTTTTTGAAAAAGCTGCAGATAAGTCTTGTCAGTATGACAACTGGATTTTGTGTTGACAGACTCCACACCTTTTAGTCAGGTTTGTAGATTTCAGTATTGTGCCTTTTCTCTGTGTTTGAGCATAGAGAGCAGAATTGAGACCAGAACGCTGGGGTTCTGTACCAGAAGCAAGAAAACCTCAAAATCAATTATTGTGACTTTTGTAATACAATTAATACAAATCCTGGAACAACTGCAAACAATTTGACATTCAATTGTTTTTTGTAACCTTTTTATAAAGCAGGCATTTCAGCTAAAAAGTTTGAATGTAACGGAAGAAACCAAAATACAATCATGCAAGCACATGTGGGGACATTTATGATTGATTAACTGTATTAAGATCAAAGATTTCAACTTGTAATAACAAGTGCTGTAGTAGATAGTCATTTGTCTTAGATAGAACACGGATAGTAAATCATAGAAGGTAGCCAGCAGCTGTCCCAGACGTGGCATCAGGACTTCAGCTGTCTATTCTATCATACATTTGTTTTAAAATTGCGTTGAGTCTCATTACTCGTATCACAACTTCATTAAGTGCCTTCTACCTTTGTGTACAAACAGACATTACCTGTAATATCAAGTCCAGAGGGGCATAACTCTAGAAGTAGATTACTAAAAACTTACCTTTAAAAGAGTTCTTGCTGCTCACAATATGAGGATGGTTTATTGTCTTGAGGATTTCTATCTCTGAGGTTAATGCTGAATCATCATTTCCGGATGTCTGTTAAAAACATAATTTGCATCAGAATGGCCTGGCAGAGGTGCCTGACAGCAGACAGGTTAAAGTCGTATCCCTGAGATAGTAGTCAACAAACTAGATCCTTTGGTGAAACTTCACTGGCACTTCTACCTACTGCCTCAAATTGTGCTTCAGTCACCGTCTCACTCTCTCCACCAACTGCATGACAACAGTTGTGGGCCCTACTTTCATGAAACTGGACGCAAATGAATACACGAATGCACATACGTATGATCAATATATCTTTGCAGTTTTGGTGACCATTAGTGGTAGTGCAAACTATGTGCCGCATGGACAATGTGGAAGAGAGGCTGAATACATTATTAGTAGGAGAGATGCTGTATAAACTTATATTCTTTCAATAGTAGCTTACCATTTTGGTGTGTGGAAAATGAAAACATTGTTTAGAGTAGTAACTGTAGTATCGTGAAACTCCATCAGAGATGCGGGGACGTTTCTTGTGTATTTTTTTGGGAGGATTGTTACAGGGAGTTCTCTCTCATCTGCCCCGTTGGGTGCAAATCATACTAACCTCCTCTAGAACAAACATTTCCATTTCAGGGTTTTTTACCTAAAGGGCTCACTGTAAGCAGATTATTTTCACAATATCTTGCCAGTGGAAGTAGTGCTGCATGAATTGGCTATAGTCTGTGCATTTTGGACAGCCCGACTTCACAGTGCTTTACAAAGCACAAACTTTTTCTCTTATACAGTGTGGCCTCTCTCCTCCTGGTACTTTACGAGTACAGTACACTTAATTTGTCTGATGCCATCAAAGGGGATCAGAGGAACGAGTGACTATTGTTACTATCACCCTGACTCCATCTGTTAATTCAGTATTCCCTCTACAAATAGTATAGTCAGCCTTCCACATTGCTACAGGCTTGCGTTACTGCTGATGGTCGACAAAATTGAAAAAAAATGAGTGGGCCATGTGTTTCATAATCAATAACCTGCCCTTTCTTAAAACTTTCTATCACAGACCTGTGGATCATATTTTGGAATCTTGACATATATTTCTTAATTTGGTATAGGTTAGCGTAGGAACTCCTCACTTACCTGATCTAAAATGATCTTTGTTATGAGAAATGTGTCATCTCCCTTTGTGGCAATAACTGCATTTCCGGTTTCCTTTTCTAATGTGTAGCCATTCTGTTTCAGGATGCTCTGTTCTGCCCCCATCTTCCGTGTTTATTCCTAATGAAACAAAATAAAGCCAATACAAAACTATTAGAGTATTATTCCTTATATTATTGTCATGACAAGAGTTATTTTGGTGAATATTCATTTGTGTTTTTCCATTTCTGTGTTAAAATGCAAATCTGTTACATTCAGCCACCTGGCTGAACGCTGGAAACAGAGGTTTTGGACCCAAATGCAGACGCAGAGATGGTTGTGTTCAGTCCTTGGTGTCATCTTCGTATGTTGAGTGTTCTGCCCATAGACAGTACATTACTGGATGAAGCTACCCCGCTGATTTGAATGGAGAGCAGTGAAGCCAGTTTTGGAGCAATAAAATACACTACAGGGCTACCTATTGGCACCAGCATCTACTGCGCATGATCGCGCAGCATAACCGTGGTATGACGTAGAACAACGGCAGAAACACTGTAATTCTGGTAGCTGCGCCAACAAAAAGTCTCATGGCTCAGTGTGTTTGTCTGACTCGGATCGTCACTGATTAATCAGCCCACCTATGAGGCTCACCTGTCAAACACCAATGCAGCATCACTGATCACCGAATAGTTTTTTTAGATTGCAGAGAGCTTACAATCTAAGCAATAGGGTTACATTTCATGTGCAACGGGATGTCACAGGGTTTTGACGTCATTTTTGGGCCTACATGGATCCCTGGCTTTGGTCGGCTTCTCTGTCCGATCCCTGGTTCTGCCTTGTGCTCTGTTACCCTGAATTTGTGGATTGTTCTGTTGGATTACCTTCCCTTTGTTGGATTTAGTTTGTTTGGACTCTTGCCTTGTGATCATACGTAAGCCTGTTTTGTTTATCTTAAACCTTTTTTAACTGCATCCACCTTGCCACTGTCTGCATTTTGGGTCCACACCTCTCCCTCTCGCCACTTCACTCAGCCTGCCTGATACACTAGAGACACATACGCAACACTAAATCAACACTAACAAAATCCACAATGGAAACACTGGTGACACGCACAAAATCAACAATGAACTGGCCACGAGAGAAAGACAGATACCACTGAAACACACAGGTGAGGGAGAAATTAATTACACACAGGTGAGATCACGAAGACAATCAGGACAAGCACAGGAAGTAAAACATGACAAAAGACACTATGGCAGACTAACTACAAACTAAACTAGAACTGCAAGCAGTTATAAGCGGGGTCCAAGCCTCCCGGCGCAAGCCCCCCCCCCCCCCGGTCCCGCGGAGGGTGCGCGAGTCGGCCCGGGTGCCCTGCCGTCATGCCGCATAAGGTCCCCACGTTTGGTGTTGATGGGGCATTCCAAACAGAGGCAAAACGTCCTGCCTTTGAAAATGCCATAGGAATGAATGGGATTTAGTGAGAGATTTCAGCTTCGCTTTAAGCGCCACCTTTTGGCCGAAGTGTACCAAATTTCAGGTGTCATCAGGGCCCCGTGGGGAACAATTGCGAATCAATTGGAGTTGTGGTTGTGGAGATCTAAAATGCATGTAAGTCAATGGGATTTTTTTGAATAGCACCAACTAGGGGCTAACTGTAGCAAATTTTGCACAGCCCCTCAGGGGGGCATGCCACATAAGGTCTTACGGTTTTGTGTTGATTGGCCTTTCCAAGCCTGAGATATGTTAGACTTCCTGTTTTTAGCGTTTTTGAAAATTTTTGTTAGTTTGCAACGGGGAAATTTCTTGTCGGATCAAAATTGCCTCTACAAACTTTCTTCGGCTTGGTCCAGAGATTGTCCGTGCCAAGTTTTGTGGCGATCGAACTTGCGGCTTCGGAGGAGTTAATTAAAATAAGTTTTCCAGTTTTTGCGATTTCGCAAAATGAAAACGTCATCTCACAGAGGCGTGTCTTATACCATCGGAATCGGCAGCATCCCCCAAACACGTAGACGTAAGGTTTATGAATGTGCAATGTAGTGAGCCGTAGTTATGAAGCAAAATGTCCTTTGGTTGAAAATCCCATTGAAATGAATGGGGTATTTGAGCTTCGATTATAGCGCCACCTTTTGGCCGAAGTGCACCCAATTTCAGGTGTCATCAGGGCCCTGTGGGGAACAGTTGACCCAAATTTGGTGTAAATCGGACTTGTGGTTATGGAGATATAAAATGCATGTAAGTCAATGGGATTTTTTTTGACGTCTTTCATCTGCAATAACAGCACCACCTATGGGCATATTCGGGTGAAGTTTGGTGCCTGTAGTAAGGGGACCATGTCGAACAATTCGGCTTAGGTTTCATGTCAGTGTGACTTGTGGTTATAGAAGAACAATTTTCATGGATTAAATAGCGCCCCCTAGGGGCGAGTTGCACCAAATTTTGCACAGGCCCTCAGGGGGGCGTCCCACATTAACGTTCCAAATTTGGTCTCGATCGGCCATTCCAAAGTGAAGCTATGACATAATTTCCTGTTAGAAGCATTTTTCGCAAACGTTTGCTAGCACATAAGTTTGACATTATGAGTCGGATCAAAATTTCCTCTACAAACTTTCATCAGCTTGGTCCAGAGATTATCCGTGCCAAGTTTGGTGTCTATCGGACTTGCGGCTCCGGAGGTGTTAATTAAAATAGGTTTTTCAGTTTTCGGGATGTAGCGAAAAAAAAGTTTAGGCGGAAATGGGCGTGGCCTATACCACGAGATTCAGCTCGATCCCCCGAACGCGTGGATATAAGGTTTTTGATATCCGCCTTCGTAGGCGGGAGTTCCAAGGCCAAACGCTTTGACCTTGCTTATAGCGCCCCCTAGAGGTAGAAGTCTGTGGATTTTTGCGCCTGAGTTACACGCAGTGAATTGGACTGTGGAGACCCTGTGAGTTTGGCGTCCCTAGCAGTTACCGTCTAGGCTGCAGTAGTGGAATTAGCGGCGGAAGAATAATAATAAAAATCCGAGCCATTACAATAGGGTTCCCAGCCGCTTCACGGTACTGGGAACCGTGATGCCTTGCATTCGCGGGTTCCCGGCCCACTTCGGGCTTGGACCCCTAAAAAGGAAGTAAAGCTATCTGAAGCACACAAGGAACAATGTCACAAAATGAAACTTAACACAGACTTGTTGACAAAAATACAAACAAAAGCAAAGAACACAGAGACAGTAAAACAAGACTAGAAACACTGATGAACTCAAAACATGGAAACCTGACGAATAACCAAAAGACTGAAGTAACACATACACACACTACAGAGAAGAGCAAACCCAAGGGCAGGAAATGAACAAAGAAAACACATACAAAACACACCCCCACCAACCCATACTGTACACACTTCCTGTTGCTTTTCCTCTTTATTTGAGTCCTCACAGCAGACAAGCAGAAGCAGCAACCAAGCAAAACTTGATCAACCATGGACCCACAACTCTTATGTGGTTCTTTATTTACTTCACTTATTTTATTCCTCAGGGTAGATAGGTTTACAAAGTAAAAGGTCAACCTCACAAAGTTACACCTGCAGAATTGTTTGGTTCTAGTGTTTAATAAAAAAACCCAATAGAAAACAGAGCCTTTCATTATGAGAACTGTAATAATTAAAAATATAACATTGTTTAACATACAAGTTCAGTACATACCTAAATGCAAAATCCTCGGGTCACCCAATATCTGGCTCCAACAGACAAAAGTGAAACCAAAAGTTTATCTTGAAGTATTAAGGTTTCCACCCACATCCTGTTATTTTGCATTGTCCTATCACAGCCTTCAAATAGGTGGTGAGCTCATACAGTATTTGCATTGGGTCAGGTGGTGGAAAAGTACCAAAACTAACTTAACCTAACTAATTACTGCTGTGAAAAACAGTGCCCCAGGTATCTAAGAGTAAACTTAATATCTGTCTGAATGTAGATTTAACATACCTTTAAGAATATGTTCATTCTGAGGAAGCCTAAAAGTAAACACACACCCTTTGTACACACATTCTGTTCTCACACAGTCAGTGTTTGTTTCTCTGATGGTAACCTGTAAAAACAGTTTTCATGTTTGATGTTTGGTCTTTCCTAATTAACCACAAATCACTGTAACCTCTGAGCAGCGTAAATACCAGGACCAAGTCTTTCTTACACTTTTTGGCATTCTTATTGTGTGCCATTTTTTGAGCTTTTTCACCACACAGAATTGTCCTATTCAATCAACAAAGCTATGGTGTCTTGCTCATTGTGATCGTCAAATTAAGTTTGAACCAATTTATAAAATCATACATATATTTCCTGTCATTCATTGTTTGCACCTTTCTTGCTCACCTGATTATGTCAACCTGTGCCTTGTTATCACCACCCGCGTGTGTGTGTGTGTGTGTGTGTGTGTATATATGTTTTTGTCTGTCTGTTGTTCAGTGCATTGTTCCTTGTTTGGTGTGTATCTCCAGTGTTTCTTGTACCTCCTGTGTTTTGTGGATTATGCTGTTTGTTTGGTCATTTGGATTATTCGGTACTTTTGGACTGCCTGCCTCCACACGCTGTGTAAATAAATATCACTAAAGAGACCTCCATCTACTCGTCTGCATTTGGGCCTTAAAATCTCTGTATCCATGTTCAGTCCTCTGGCTGAACGTAACGCATGCCCTGAAGTGAGATAACTATGTGTGATAAAGACATGGCCAAACTGCAGAAATTAATTTTCTTGGCAATGTGTAACTTTGACTAGCACCCAGCAGCTTGCTAAGACTATAAAGCTGCAGGTAGTGGCTTGCTGGGCAGTGAGGGGGAGATCCAAAGATACACTTACTATGCATAATGCACCAAATTACTTATTTATCATAAATAAAGTAATTCGCAAAACAAAAGTGGCAACTGTAGTGTCCGAACAATAATGCTGCGATGATGTGTTGAGAAGAAATCCGCTTGACACTGTTCTTGATCATAAAAGTTTATTACATTAAGGAGTTCAGCATCAATTACAAGCTCTGCAGCAGCTTGGAGAGTGACCCAGCCCGATGACCACTCTGTCTCTCTGTACATCAAACATAGCTTATATAGGATATGTGTAGGTATCTGTTAGATACCATAGAAGGGTTTGAGTCTGCAAAAGAAAGCTCCAACCCATATAAGGGCACAGTGCTATAGGATATGTGCAGGCATCTGTTAGACACCATATAAGGGTCTGAGTCTCCACATAACCACTAACCACTGCTCTCCCTTAAAAGGTCACTAATCCTCTATCCAGCTGCTACAGTGCTATTCTAAACTGTTATGTGTCAAATGCACATATTATACACCACACAACAATACCGCATACCGCACCATTGAGCCACAATATATCATCGCAGGGGAAATTACTTCACTGCGACAGCCCAAGCCATCAGTCACGTCTGGAAGAATTTGATTTTTGACACTGCTCCACAGTAGGAGTGCTTTACTTACATTTGAATTATAGGCTTCGTACAACTACTGGTCAATGTAATTGTCTAATATTGGTAATTAAGCTGGGCCAGTATCAGAAAACAGATGGGGGTGTCTGTTTTTGGCTAATGCAGTGAATTAAATGGCTGACAAATCAAGGTTCTTCATCACACTGATGGAAAAGAAGTGTTGACAGTGTTGGCTTGAAAGTACCAGAGGCACTTTTTCACTCCATGTTTTTGGCAAGGGCAGATTTTGTCAATATAGAGCTAACAATTGTGAAAAAGGCTGCCATAAATTGGGACATTATAAATTGTATCTTCTTCAAATTAGCAAAAGTGAATTCCTGAAAATGTAGTTGTTGCCACAAAAATGATTTGTCTTTATCAGCTAAGACATAAAGAAATCTCTAAAATATTGACACTGCTGAAAATGACAAAACTTCCTTCCTGATTCCTTATATATATATATATATATATAGTGTATATATATATTTATATATAGGAAACAGTGATTAGAAGAAAAATCTAACACAACACATCTGAACTACGACTAAGCAGATATTTCTTGATAACATTCAAAATGTGATTTATAGATAGATGCATGGAGGGGCCAACAGAGTATGTGTGTGAGCGAATAGGAGCAGACACGTGCAGAAGGGGTATGTTGGGTGCTTGAGCACCTGCCCTTTTGCCCTTTGATGCCCAAAATGCCCTTTTTTCAATGCAAAATGTCCTTTATATATTTATTTTTAAATTTGTAAACGCCCTTTTGTGAAGGCCTGCCCAATCAAACTATTAGTAAAATGAATGAATAATAATTTTGCACTAAATAAATAAATAAAATGACCCACACTTTCACCTGATGACCTCATCCGTGACGAGCCCCCGTTAAGACACTGTTAGTGATTCAGCAGCACCTACAGGATACCGCGGATAAGAGGGGTTTACCACAATGTGCTTGTTGTGGGTTGTTAGATGTAGTAGTTACAAGAACGCAAAGAGAGCATGACAGTTGTTGTGTATATTGCTTTGTGTCGCCTGTAGAAGTAATGTTATCTGCCGGCTAACACTATGCCGACAGCTAACGTTACTTCTACACACACAGATAAACAAAGGTGCTCTGTTCACTTCGTTCTTACTGCTTGAGGGGAAAGGTTTCACGGGCAGAGGTCTGATCTTTTTTATGTTATTTGACTAAAAACTTTTCACTTGAACTAGGATTATTACAGTAACTTAATAAAAGCCTTGTGCCTTAAAATAATAATAACAAGATTGGTAAAACAGGCTTACTGATATTATTCCTCGACTTACAGTCTACTTATCAGCCCTCCTTAAAATGATCATTAAATTGACCCACAACTCTTATGTGGTTCTTTATTTACTTCACTTATTTATTACTCAGGGTAGATAGGTTTACAAAGTAAAAGGTCAACCTCACAAAGTTACACCTGCAGAATTGTTTGGTTCTAGTGTTTAATAAAAAAAAAACCAAGAGAAAACAGAGCCTTTCATTATGAGAACTGTAATAATTAAAAATATAACATGTTTAACATACAAGTTCAGTACATACCTAAATGCAAAATCCTGGGTCACCCAATATCTGGCTCTAACAGACAAAAGTGAAACCAAAAGTTTATCTTGAAGTATTAAGGTTTCCACCCACATCCTGTTATTTTGCATCATCCTACTTATCAGCCCTCCTTAAAATGATCATTAAATTCAGAACAGTATTGGATTAGATTTACATTTTAACAGCAACAGTAGTGTTTATCAGCAACACTACTATAAAAACTCAGTAAGTGGAAATACATATAAAAATGTCAGTGTCAATGTAAAATAAATAATATTCCTGACATCAAAGTTAGGAAGAAGAAGAAATGGCCCTATTAGATTTCAGAAAAGGGTATGAAATGTTAATGTGAAAGATTAATGCTTTATTTATTTAGATTCATGATTAGACATTTAGTCAATAAAAATCCAAATATATCTCAGATTCACAATGCAATATATAAAATCATTATCACAATATTGCATACTGTAGACACATAAGCAAACAACACACAGACAGAGACACACACACCTCTGTCTATAGATTTGTTTGTCTCACTTACCCCTGCCATGGTGACCCTCATCCTTTCCCCCATTAATGTTTCCTTCTCAGGTTAAAATCACACTTTTTTAAATCTAAAATCTTATTTCCTCCACCTGCAGCTCTTGGTGTGCAGCAGTCTCTGTGAGCATCTCCCTTTTTCTCATAGCAGTCAGCCTTTGCAGTGGCTGCAGCACTACAGCAGGTCAGTCACTGTGAGCCAGTCCCAAACACTCAACAGTCTTTACATCTTGTCACGGTCACATAATTGTTTAATCAGCTAATATATATCCTTACATATATCCTATGTTTGTTTAAATATCTGTAGTCACAGATCACCTCCAGTAATACCAGCAACAACTACAGTAGCAGCAGCAGCAGCATCCCCAGCAACCCCTCAACAGCAACTGCTCCCTGTAAGTCAGCCCACGGTGTTTTAATGCTTTCTTTTTCAAAACACCCTCACAGTATTTAGTGATGTATAGATACAGAAGAATCTGCATACGCATATCAGCAAGGAATACGTAACAATATATTTGTGCATAAATATTTTGAGAACAACCCTATTTAAATCCTGTTCCATGTGCATTTTCTTTTATACTTTGAGCACCTGCCCTTCCAAAGGTCTCTGCATGGCCATGCAGGTCAATGAAATGAGAAAGAAGAAGATTAACAGAGGCATGTTTGACATTCATATCTTGGCTGATTCAGCTACTTTTAGATTCTTCTTGTGGCTCAGTCCACCCTGTTGTTGACTTGTCTGTTGACCTGAATTACTTGACTTTGCACATAATATTTGGGAAAGTTCCAAGATTTATTTTAAAATAGAATTCACAGGATTTTATTCGCTTTAATGGCAAAGGTTACACTCACAGCAGTGGTCTCTAGAGTAGCACTACAGAGTACGGTATTAACCGGGAGTGACATTATCTTAACCCAATTTGTGGAAATTAAGGAAGGATATTTACTTCCTTTAATATTGATGAACTTTTTAAAGTCAGGGGATCGTAATTAGATATGTTGGATATTATTGGCCAATATGAGCTAATTGCACATAAATTGGTTTCAGTGTTTATACCAGCTGATAAATGACAATTAGCCTATAAAGAATTGGAGAGACGGATCCTTCGATCATGTTGCGAGTGTTACTGTTACATAGTTTGTCCACCAGAGGGCACTCAGCAACT